GCGAGAAGCATCTGCCAGATTCTCAGAGGAGGGGGATTTTAAACAAATGCAACTTGGCCGTTGAAGACGAGGCAATCGCTCATTTTTATGTTTGAAGTTTTAACCGTTTTCATGTTTCCCCATGAAGGAGAGGAGCAAAGCATGCTGGGAGAAGGGTTCAAACGCTGCACAGCATATCATCACGTATCAGAAAGCAAATCTGCATCAGGACCGAACCGTAGAGCTGGAGGTGAGCTCAGGTGTAAACGTCTCACCTGCACTGCATCAGTGAGCTGCTCCCCTCTGCTCCTCTGCAGTGTGTGAAATAAAAACTTACCCACTTTTATAAATAAAAGATTTAACTGCAGCTAAGCAGCTTTAAAAAGTGTAATTATAGGTACGTGAGGACAAAGACAGAGCTCCTCTGTCACACTTCTGACCTGATAACTCGCTGCGACCTTTGACCTGTCACAGCCGATGGAGCTGAGGTCACGATGATGTCATCGCACCAATCACTATCTGTTTGGTTCGAAGGCCTCTGATTAACCTCTGATCAATCCTCGCTTCTTATCTCTGCTCTGATTGAACTCGTCACATGAGAAAACATCAAATATCTTCTGACTCATCGGGTGTTTACTGCAGCTGGGCCGAGTCCAGCTGCACTGTGACCGGAGAGCAGGAGAGCAGGAAGTGACACCCGGAGTCGCCGTGTGAGCGTTTTTACACTCCTTCAGAGCTCCGACAGGCCTCTTCTGTAGCTGCTGGGGCTTATGGGTAATGTAGGTGCTGACGAAGAGTCTGCGACCTTCACCTTTAATAAAATCTGTTCGTTTTTATGGAAAAATGCAACATGAGTACTTCAGGCTGAAAGATTTTTTGCGGGAAAAAATGCATAAAATTTTAGAAATTTGTCGCAAAAATAGCAGAAAGAAGCACAAAAATTTTAAATTGGCAGAAAAGGTCAGAATAGTAGCTGAAAAGTCCTGATGCATCTCAGTAATCCAGGTAAAAAATCAAAAAGAAAAAATTGTATAGGTCTTCTGGACGGGTTCTTCTCTAATGAAACGTTAAATAATGAAAGTAGAATAGTATATTCACACTCCATGTTGAACATCTTTATAGTAACATTATCAAAAATTGTAAAATCTAAGAGTTGTGTGAAAAACAATTTGTCAATACCATTTCATCCATCCATCTTCTTCCACTTATTCAAGGTCAGGTCGCATGGGCAGCAGCCTAAACAAAGAGATCTAGAGTCCAGTGTTTCCCAAAGTTGGGGTCGGGACCCAAAGTGGGGTCCCGAAACATCAAGGTGGGGTCCTGAAAATATT